ACACACACACACACACACACACACACACACACACACGGAGCAGTGAGGGGGCAGGAAGAAGTCAGGGGTCTCCTGTGGCAGCAGAGTCCCCATGGTAACTTGGTAACTTGGCCCCACCCTGCACCACCTGTGAGGTCACCCTGCCGCTCTGCTGGCTGGAGGGTGGAGGAAGGGCCAGACATGGAGGTCACTCCGCTGGTCAGGCCTAGTCTATCCGGGATTGTGTTGCAAGTTGTAAGGCTTTCGGTGCTGGTGAGTGAGTGTGTGTGTGTGTGTGTCTCTCAGGGCAGGGGCAGGGCCCGGGCGGGTCCCAGAGGGCAGCTCTCTAGAGATGAAGCACCCAAGCCCTACCTGTCTCCATCAGTGGGGCCAAGGGACTGCCTGCCCTCTGGGGTGATCTGACTATTCCCAGAGGCCCCACCCCCACCCCATCCCTTCCACTCTCTAGTCCAAGGTCACTCCATGCCCTTCAGCCATGCCCGTCTCTTCCATCTTTCTAAATTACCCAAATGCCCAGGGTTGAGTTATCAGAAAAGGGTCCCTGGGCGGGCCACCGTACCATAGAGAGGGGAGGTGATACGGTGTCCCAGGCACAAAGGGCTTGGAGTCTCAACTCTTCCCTTCCTGAGCTGCGTGACTTCGATCAAATCATCCTGCCTCTCCCGGCCACTGACTCCTCACATGGGGGGCTCCTGACTCCAGTCTGGGAGCGGGGCCTCGACTTCCTCTGCCAGCGGGACCCTTTGGTCCACTTCCTTTCCGGGTACAGTGCCACTGTCTTCTGAGGACCTCTGCCTCAGATGACTGCCTCTCTGAGAGGCCCTGGGCCCTAGGCCCTGCAGGAGCTGCATCTGACACGCCCTTTCCCTGAGGACCGGGAGCAGGTGGAGGGGGTCCTAGAGGGCTCTGAGAAGGGCCTGTCAGCGCCAGGACCCAAGCCCAACTCACCCCCTATTGTTCCTCCCCTCTCCCAAGACCCCTCGTGAACATGCTCTGAGTGACGGAGGTGCCCTGGTCACCCAGGCCTGGAAGTCTTCTGGGCCCCTTCTCTCAGCAGGTCAATCGTGAATTCTCTACCCTCCCCACCCCCACCCCCACCCAGTTTCTCTCCTCAGTCACCCTCCTGACCCTATGAGGACAGGTGGCTGAAGAGAAGCAACTGACCTGGTTCAAATCCCGCCAGGAGAGAGCGATGCTAACAATAAAGCCACCTCCTTCTGCCCGGGTGCAGGTGGGGGACATCAGCCAAAATCAATGACTCCAATTCACTGGTCTTGAGTGGATTCTGCAGGAGAGAGATGGGGTTCTCTACTTCCATAAACAGTTACAGTCCTGAAAACCACGAGGGGGGGGGGGCGGCCGTGTGTGTGGAGGTGACGCTCTGAGTCAGCATTGACTCAATGGCAGTGAGTTTAAGCCGACTCTAAGATTCCCTGGGACCCTAGAGTAAAGTGACCAGACGTCCTGCTTTTGGCGGGACAGTCCCGATTTTTAACAATTTTTGGAAACAATGCATGACAAGCTAGGGTATACGGTTTTTGGCTGCCATGTGGCTATTTCACCAGGATGTGAGTTTTATCAATGGTGTCCCGCTTTACCAAGGTTAACATCTGGTCACCTTGCTTAGAGGGCCAAGTAAAAATGCTCCGTAGGGGGTTTGAGACTGGAATTCATTCTGGGAGCAGGCAGCCTCATCTTTCTCCTATGGATGGGCTGGTAGGTTTGAACTGCCAACCATGAAGTGAGCAACCTGCCACTAACATACTGCACCACCAGGACCCGTTGGAGATCAAGTTGAGCATTTAAATCTAACATGAATAAAGCCAAATCCTATTCCAGGATTTTTCTAAGGCCCCAACCGGTGAGCATGAAGTCCTTGGGGCACAGGGGCACGGGGCTGGGGGAACTGCGTGGGGCCTGGAGCAGCCGAAGATCCGGCCCCAGGTGGGTGACGATTGTCTCTTCCTCCTCCTGCAGCTGGTCCAGAACCGGAGCCACCTCTACAACTTTCTGCTCTTCAAGATTGTCCTCTTCAACCACTGGGTGACCGGGTTGTCACAGGAGGCCAAGGGCTCAGGCTGCAGGCAGAGCTGCCTGCCCCCGGTCACAGCCTGCCGGGTGGGGCAGGCTCTGCGTGCCGGGCTGGCGCTGATAGCCACCCCAGTGTGGTTGGCGCTGTGGGTGCCCAGGCTGGTGTGGGGCAGTGTGCTGGGCTGTGTCCGCGTCATGGGCCTGCACCCAAGGAAGTGGCTGGGCCTGCCCACAGCCACCTGGACAAACCTGCTTGTGTCGTGTCTGCACAGCCTGATGCTGGTGGCCTTGCTGCTGCTGCTGCTGGCCTGGAGGCTGGGCCGGGTGCTCCACCGCTTCAGCCTGGGCCAGCTGTCCAGCCAGGTGGGTGAGCTGGGGAATGGGCTGGGGCTGCAGAGGGCAGGACCGTGTGGGAGGTGCTGGACAGGGATGGGCTGGGGGCGTAGCAGCCAGGAGTGCGTACCAGGTGGCCTCTGGTGTCCCTGGCTGCCCCAGGCCCTGCTGGAGAACCGCGTGGCGCTGAGCCTGGGGGCACTGTTCAAGCGTCTGTCTTGGAGGGTACAGAGCGTGGCCCTCCTTACGTCCTGGCGCCTGGCCTACCTCGTCACCTGGGCCACCTGCCTCGCTTCCCACTTGCTGCAGGCTGCCTTTGAACACACAGTCCAGTTGGCCCAGGAGGCTGAACTCCAGGAGGCCTCGGGGCCCCTGCTGGAGGCCCGATGCCCTAAGCCCCTGACCCTTGAGGCTGGGCCAACCCTGCCCGAGCTGGAAATCCCTGGAGAATAAATGTGTCCCCATCAGCAGGAGGCATGTTGTGTGTGTGTGTCCGCGTGTCCCCTCTTAGGAGCCAGGGGCACATGAGCACCTACTTCACGCTGGACTCCACCCAGTTCAGACACGGGACCCGGCATCACAGTCATTGGCTCCAGTTTCCCGACAAGAAAACAGGGTCAGAAGTAGGTCCGAGGAAGTAGGGGCAGAGACACCTTTGTAGGGGTAGACCCACCCCCTCAAGATTTTATTTCTGAAATGCATAACTACATCTAAATTCCTATCTCCAGGCTTCTTAGGAGTTTCAGTACTCAGGGCTTTGGGGAGGTGGGGGTGGGGAGTGCCAGGCAAACTCTGGCCTCTGGGGGGTGCCAAAACCTCACATTTCAGAGACTCGGCACTTTCTTTGAGAAGTCATCCTTGAAGCCGGGGGCAACTAGTCTATTGTTTCCTTTTTCATACTTAGCAACTTCGCTTTCCACTCTTCCCACACACTCATCTACCCACAAGTCCACCTGTCCATCTGTCCATCTGCCTGTCCATTTTTCCATCCATCCATCCATCCATCCATCCATCCATCCATCCATCCATCCATCCATCCACCTGTCCAACTACCCATCCATTCACCTGTACATCTGCCCATCCACCCGTCTGTCCATCCATCCATCCATCCATCCACCTGTCCATCTACCCATCCATTCACCTGTACATCTGCCCATCCACCCGTCTGTCCATCCATCCACCCACCTGTCCATTTATCCATCTACCCATCTACCTTTAGCCTGTTTGCTCACCCACTCACCCATCCTCCTATCCATCAGTATCCAATCCATCAGCTCCTCCACTCATCCACTGTTCAGCCTGTTCACTCATCCACCCACCCATCTATTCTCCAATCCACCAATTCATCTACAAATCCATCCATCCCTCCACACACCCACCGTTCAGCCTGTTCACCCACCTACCCTCCCATCCACCAATTCATCTACCAATCTGTCCTTCCACTCACCCACCTCTGGCCTGTTCACCCTCCCCTGGACCAGCCTACCCACCAGTTCCTCTATCCATCTACCTATCCATCCATCCATCTATCCATCCATCTATCTACCTATCCATCCATCCATCCATCCATCCATCCATCCATCCATCCATCCATCCATCCATCCATCCATCCAATACATCTGTCCTTTCTTCCATCCACCTCTTCCAGGAATAACCTCAAGGTGAGCAGTTTGAAACCACCAGCTGCTCCATGGGAGAAAGAGGAGGCTTTCTACTCCTGTAAAGAGTTGCAGCCTTGTAAACCCACCGGGGCAGTTCTACCCTGTCCTATAGAGTTCTATGAGTAGGGATTGATTTGATGGGAGTGAAAAGAACTACATTAAACACACACACGTACAAAACCCTCCCACTTCCCTGGTTTTGCACGCGATGAGCCGGGAGTTTGTGGGAAGGATTCTTGGCGCACCAGCAGACCCACAGGTAAATGCATGGTACACATGTTGGCTGATGAAGCCCACACAGCAGGGATCCAACCACGCTGGTACCCGCCCCTTCCATTCCCAAGTCCATATGGATAGATGGTCTGGATCTTTTCTATCGGTGGCTGGGGAGCATCCGGGCTAGCTTATGTTGCTGAAGACCACCGCTCAGTGTGTGGCTTGCATGTGGCCACGGCTCTACCCGATGCCACCCGGATTGCCAAGACCAGTGGTCACCCTGTGCTGGCAGGCTTCGGTGGTGTTTGCGGGCTAAGACAAGGAAGAAAAGCTTAGTGACAGGTCTGCTTCCAAAGACCCATCAATGGAAGCCCGTGGCGACCAGCACATTATTGTCCAAGACAGAGGTCAGGGGCATGAGGTGCCGGCCGCCCAGTAGCCACAGGGGAGAGCCAGGCACACCAGTGAGCAGGAGGCTGGCGCAAGACTGGGCCACGTTCTGTTGGACATCAGGTCGCCCTGAGTTGGTGCCGGCTAGATGGCAAAGAACACCCCAGTTCTGAAGCAGGGATCGGGGTGGGCTCTGGAGGAATTGCCTGGGGCACTGGGTGGGAGGTGGTCCCTGCCCTGCAGGTGGAGGTGGACCTTCCGCTGTGTGGTCCACAACTGTGCTCCACTCCTCCCACCACATCCCCACACTCCTGCACCTGAGACCACACGCGGCTGCTGGCCTGACCGTGGATGGAGGAAACCTCCTTGGCCCAGCCAGTCTGAGGGAGAGGGGTTAACCTGGGCCCTAGACCTGGGATGAGGGGACGGTCCTGGGGGGATCATCCCCTGCTATCCTGAGAGTGCCCAGCACAGGTGTTGTCCCCCGAGACAGGTGGCTGTGCAAAGACCTAGCCCCACCCCTCTCACCTGTCTCGGCAGTTTTGGGTCAAGGACACACACTTCCGGGGGAAGGAGGAGGCGTCTGCTTCTGTAACAGTTTACTGTCGAGGAAACCCACAGGGACATTGTCACGCTGTCCTAGAGGGTCATCAAAGGAGTCTTGGTGGTAGTGGTTACCCATGGGCCTGCTCTTCACAAGGTGAGCAGTTCGAAACTACCAGTTGCTCAGAGGGAGAAAGATGAGGTTTTCCACTCCTGTAAGGAGTTAAACTCAACTGCCATCAAGACTCAAAGGACCTTATAGGATGGTAGAACTGCCTCTGAGGGTTTCTGGTACAGTAACTCTTTATAGGAGCAGAGTGGCTGGTGACTTTGAACTGCTGACCTTGCGGTAAAGAGTGACCGTCTCAGAAACCCACAGGGGCAGTTCTACCCTGTCCTGTAGGGTCGTCATGCTCGATGGCAGTGAGGTGGCAGTGGCACCAGGACACCATGGTGGAGCCCTGGGGCCACAGTGGTGACATGTTGAACTGCTAACGGCAAGGTCAGCTGTTCGAAACCACTAGCCTCTCCTAGGGAGAAAGGCGAGGCTTTCTACTCCCGTAAAGAATGACAGCCTCGGAAACCCACAGGCCCGTCCTGTAGGGTCGCAGTGAGTCTGAATCTACCTGGTGGTAGTGAGTGAAGAAATGAGGACACAGGGGCAGGTGAGAGGACCCCAGTGGCTGGAAGACAGTGTGGTGTTGTCTTTTTGGTTACGCAGGGCTGGGGGCTCACTGGGAGCCGTTCCTTAGGGCTGGGGCCCGGGAAGTTTTCCTGGGGCCGGGGGAAGGGTGTTTGAACTGAGCCTGAAGATAAGCTTGGGCTACAGCCCAGAGGAGATGCGGGTTTTGCCCAGATCTGACCCTTGCTGTGCCAGCTTTGTCAAATTCCTATCCTCTCTGGACCTTAGCCATTGGGCTGACCTGTTCGGGCTGGGCACCAGTGCTTAGGGTGGCAGGCCTGGAGTCTGCCTTGGGAAGGCCCCAGGCTGGGGCGATGGGGCGGCCCTGGGCATGGGGAGGCTTAGGTGAGGGGACGGCCCTTCTCTGCCTGAACCCCAGGCTGGGGGTGAGACCCGGCCTGGGAGAAGCTTGGACTCCAGGCTCAGCCCCTGTCTCTCAGGGACCTTGGAGAAGACGCTGCTTTCTCCGTGCCTCAGTTTCCATGTCTGTGCAGCACCGTGTGGGAGGATCAGCACCCGAGGGTCCTCAGTGCTCTGGTTCTGCTCGTGGCCCCTCAGGTAGGAGGTAGACCTGGGCTAGTGCCAAGCTTAGCTCCCAATGGATGCAGCTGGGTAAGGATGGGCAGGGCTCCTTACACAAGATGAACTCTCTGGTTTTCAGATCCCCTGCCCTGGGGCATTGCTGGCCAGCAAAACAGGCCCTCCAGCTTTTGTAGAGGCCGGCACCCTGGGCTGGAGCTGAGCAGGAAGGAGCAGGGGCCAGAAGCTGCCCTTTGCTCCTCGCTGACAGGGTGGGTAGACATTGGGTTTGAGCATCCTGGCTGTATGACCCCGGGCAAGTGACTGAAGCCGCGAACCTCAGTTTCCCTACTCTCCCAGGACATAGCCACAACACCCCAGACCCTCACAGGGACACTACCGGGTCATTCCTTCGTGTGAGGTCCCAGCTCTGGGCTTAGCATGAAGGTTCTCAGGAAGCCCCTTCCCTCTCCCCCTTCTCTGGGGCCCCAGAGGGCTGCCTCAGAGGCCCCAGTGAGCAAGGTCAGCCTGCCATCTCCGGCCTGAGTGCGTGTTGGGACCTTGGCCCGCCAGAGGGAACAAGTGGGGGTCAGGGAGAGGAGGGCCCGGGCAGGGTGGGGGAGCTGCTGTGGGGCTGGGCAGTCGCTCCACGCAATCTGTCTGCTATGCAGTCCCGGGGTCTGTATTTATTTATGCTGAGCGTGTATTTATATCCGCCCCTTTCTCATTAATAGGGCAGGAAATGGCTGGAATTGTTACATACCTGGCGGCCCAGGGGTCCCACTCGGCCAAGACACACAGGGCCCTGGCTGCCCCAGCCCGCGCCACGGCCCCCTCCTCAGTCTGCTCCCAGGCTAAAGCCCGAGGTCTAGGTACCCCAGGACCACCTCGGCTGCTTTGCGCTTTGGACTCCACTCTGAGCCCTCAGTCCTAGCAGGGAATTATCTCAGAGCCCCCCTCCTGCGTCCCACCTCTGACCTCATCTCTGCCCCAGTACAGACAATGGAGCTAGGGGCATGGACTGGAGGGGTGGGGGGAGGATCCTTGGCGTGAGGGCAGAGGGCAGGGAGCAGAGGGCGGGGGTGTCCTGAGCTTCTTAGAAATGTGGGTAGAGTGCAGGTCCTCTTGGCAATAGGTGTCCCAGGCAATACCCTCTCTTTTGTTTCCCCCACCCAGAAACTTCCTCTCCCTCGGGAGGGTCTCTGGGTAAACCCCCCTTGCTGCCCCAGCCTCAGGGAGCTTATCCCTATCCTGCCATGCAGGCCCCAGGGCAGGACAAGGCTTCCACTGGGCCTCCCTGCTACACTCAGACCCAAGCCAGAATCTGTGTCCAGGCCGGCGGTGTTTGGGCCAGACCCCAGGTGGGGCTGCCAGAGTGGAGAGGCGCGGCCCCCTCCCCAGAGCACTCGCCTGACATAACCTATTAGTGCTTCTCTCCTCAGCCTGTACACCCCTTCCC